AAATGATGGATCTATCATTGTGGATTATGTGAAAGCTTCCAACTTGACAGTTTGTGTAAAGAATAGTTCTATTATCAAAGAACATACATAAATTTATTACGAACATCAACTCATGCGTTATCTGTAAAAACTAAACGCTCCTGTAGTCTGCAAACGGAAAGGCGCTGGAAGCGTAAATGACAGCTGTTAGTTGTGTCTGATGTTAACAGTAAGCTATCAATAACTAAAATTGTGACTAAAAGCATACAAACATGGAAGTTGTTGAGCTTAAACAAATATTTATACGATATAAAAAGGGACCGGAAGCTGGACATTAACACCGTTGGATGCCGGTCGGCTCAGTGGTCTAGAGGTTAAGCGTTCGCACGCCAGACTGATAGGTCCTGGATTGGAACCTCGCGAGGCGGGACCGTGGGCGTGCACTGCTGTCCAGTGCTTCCTGGTTTTCCATTCGTGATCTAGCTTCAATTGACTCATGAATTCAAGCATTGAATAAGGGAAAGTTATTATCTTGTATTAGTAACTTCACACTAAATTGCGAAATACTAGAAATTCAATTTTCTTCTCAATTTGGTATTTTACAAACGCATTATTGACTTATTATTATGAATAATCTACCGAATACTCAATTTAGAAAATGGATGGTGTTTACCCTCTGAGATTGATGATTTGATCCTGAAGCGTTGATTGTCAACCTCATCAACATCAGCACATATTTCGATGAGCTACTTGGATTTCTCCCAAATCGACTAGCTGCTTGTTCATTTGACCTAGAATTTGGTTGGTTGTTATTTTGGTGTGCAACAGTCGTTCGTATGTTTGTTTAGACCGTTTTCACTTCTAACCTGATATCTGACCTTAGAATTCTTTACTCTTTTTCATGATTAGTCGATCGACTGAGTCAGTTTTAATGCATCTATTAATTGATACATTACTAGATTATCTGATTCCAAAAACGTTCTCTAGAATTCTACATGTATTCTCTGTCCAATACTTCGACATTTCATCAGTTGGAATCATAGCAATAGTTCTTATGTATTTACAAGCTTTCATTTAACCTAGTGGCTACCATTATACGATTTACTATTAAGTTATTCCCAACCTATCAGTTACAGCTTGATCTTGAAATCATGAGTCGAAGCTAGACCACGATGGAAAACCTGGAAGCACTGAACGGCCGTTTCGTCCTAGTATAGGACACGAGCAAGCCTGATGGGTCCTTGGTTTGAATCTCACCGGGGGCGGGATCGTGGAAGCGCACTGCTGAGGAGTCCCATACTATAACGAAACGGCCATCCAGTGCTCCCAGGTTTTCCATAGTGGTCTAGCTTTAATTAAAACATCATTTCAACTACAGATGATTTAATTGTTATTACTTACAGAGTTGTATAGAATTTTTCTAATGTGTTTAATGAATTCTAATTGTCCAATAAAAGTACATGATAAATAACCATCTTCCTCCATAGTTAGACACTGAATTGAAACAGGTCATAGAACTGAAAACAAATTAACCGTTTTGGTATTATGTAACAGTGAACTTATATGAATACGAATTGTTGAAATCTTACTCATATGAAGATTCAAACCGTTTCTACGTGTTTGAAATGAGTTTATTGTCTTTTTAACCCAATTACTTACGCCGAAATGTGGAATTCCATGTACCTAAATTAATGGTTGCTCTTGCTGTCAGAAAGGGTCATCAGCCTCGTGACCTCCGAAGGAACTAGGCTTTCACCACGAGACGTCATAACTCTTCTAAATGAAGACCTAAATCTCAAGGCAGAATTTAAATGGTTTGAATTATTTTTTTTTGTTTAGCGTTTATTAGCTAGTTGGTCTTCTACGAGATGGGGTCGCTAACCCCATGCCAAACCCTCTTCCTTTATCTAGGCTTGGGACCGGCAGTAGCCTCAAGCGGAGTTTTTATGACTAAATACTAGTAACATTAACCCAGAATAGTGTGATCTGCGTTTAACTTGTTATCTTTGTTCTTTTTATGTCCACATTTTCTAGCTTTAATGCTATTTTTCATATAAATATCATAACAAGGTGATTGTACTTTCAATGAGGCATAAGCTAATATCAATTTGGGAATGAATTCACTTGAAGAGTCATGTGTATGAGGTAATGAGAGACTAAAATGTAATACAACAGTAATGGATTGATTACATATTCAATATTGTCAGAGAAACATATGAATCCATTAATACCATAATGTATCTGTGTATTACTGTAATGTACGTCAGTAGTATTTACTTTTCAAAGAAATATGTCAGCTTTAAAAACGTCAACAGTATGTCCGGAAACATGAAATTCACTAAAAAGATGAAATCTGTAGGCCACAAACCACCATTTCTGGACTGTTTAGTTGAAAGCAAATGTTATGATTATATAACAGCTAATATATCCCGAATGTGAACATGGGAAATATGTAGATTAAAAGTCAACACATGTCCCCATTCCATCGAAGTGACAGTGGTCAAGATTTCGATAGAGTTTAAAAACTTGTCACTGAATCAATCGGCAAAGAAACTGAATTGAATTTACTTATATCCACTTTGATGATGAGTAATTATCCTAGGGACTTTATGTAAAGAAGGGTAAAAGGACAATAAAGAGAAACCAAAAGAATGGGTTGGCACGGTAGTGATTCCGTATCGTAAAGGAATTTCATAGCAGTCCCATGTCAAATACAAAGGGAGGAACGACAAAAGTGTGTATATGAGATCAAACATAGTGACTGTAATATCCTATATGTAAGTGAGACATAACAGCTGAATGTGAATGAACACAAACGTTGCTTAAAGAATATTCCTTACTATTCAAAAGATCTGAAAAACAAACTAGGAAATAAGTCAGCAACTGCATTGCATTCAATAGAGTCCGGCCATACAATTGATTTCAATGGCACAAAAATCCTACCGAAAGATTTTAGTTCGTAAAACTACAGAGACTAACAGCTGAAGCTCTTATTTACTTATTTTAACACATAGATATTGGTACAAGGAGGCACCAAATACATATGCGCCACACAAATCTCACTCGATATGTGTAAGGGCTGTGATACTGCCCGGGTACCCAAACTGAAGCAGGTGGTTTTTCTTAGGGGGCCACTCCCCGAGCCTTCGACATGGTCTGACCCACAAGGCAGTGGAGCATCGTAAGGAGATGCAGTCTCATGGTAGCCGGTGACCAACGACTGGCTCAAACTCCATTTGTTCTCGCAGGATACTGGAGCCCATGTGCACTATTGGTTTGGAATCAGGGTTTTCCAACTCCCCTAGGTGGATTCTCTATGTCCACCAACCCGGTTAAAGAGTTGGACATTCGCTTTTCGTCCTCTCAATTTAGTAAACAATACCCCCGCCACGAGAAGAAAGTGAGTAGGACTTCCCTAGCAGAGGCTATATACGCGTGGCCATGCGAGAGCATTTAAAGAGGGAGAAGTGACTCTCCGCACACCCGGCCGTACCAGAGCATTTGGGGAAAATCCAAACAGTATTAATAAGAGAGATGAAATACAATTAGCTATCGTACGGCAACTAATAATTAACAAGCAAACTTGAACTTCTCTTTATATTTTATTGTAGTTAATCTATCGCTTATTATGAGAACAACAACGATTATCTCAACTAGTTCTAATCAGTTAGTTTAACTTGAATATATGATGAACTGTTGGGGATGTTAGATCCCCAGAATTCACTTGGTAAATACCCTTATTTTGTAATTTTTTATTTTGAAAATTTGAATTACTTTGTTTTCGTACCAAAAGCGCTCATTTTCACCTTCATGTTGTATTTCCCACTTGGGAGAATCTTAAACGCTATTATAGTTCGTTGTATCTTTTAGTAGGTTATTTTGTAACGTTTCCCAAGGACAATTTTATGCTATATATATATACGTTTGGTTTGTACCTAGTGTTATTGCTCGTGCTTATGGCTGCTTACGGAATATATTTTCCCGTCTCGGACTTAAACTTCTCTCTTTAGTTAGCGGTGCTGGCTAGCTTATTGATGTTTGGTCACGGAGTCTTTGTCCCATTCGCAGACTAGGTGAACCCGTAATCGCTTCAAACGTAGCATGAACGATCAACTTGATCACCATAATAACACAAACATTTATTTTTGTTTACTTGTCGTTATTTTATGTATGCGTTGACATATTTAATTCATATTATCTATCAAATTATCTGATTTTATCAAGGACATCTAATTATATCTCCTTGAAAAAGTCTGAATCAGAATGCTAAAAGATCATCCATATCCACCAATACGATTAAAGCGCCGAGCATTCGCTCCTCATCATCTGAATTTCGTAAACAACACTCCCGCCGCAAGAAAGGAGTGAGTAGGAATTCCCTGTCACTGACTATATACGTGTAGCATTTCGAGAGGGGAAGCTAACTTTTCCCACTCTCGGTTGTATCACAGCATTTGGGGAATCTAGAAAGATACCAACCTAGATAACATTGAGAAACAATTCATTTTGTATTCTTTTTAAAGTCGATCAAACTTTACAAAGTAGAAATATTAAGTACAGTCTAAGAATTACTACAGTAAGGAAAAAAAAGAAAGAAAAGAAACATAGATCGATGACAAAATGGTTTAAAAAACAATTCGATTAAGAAGTGGACCCACCTATTTACTCAATTTCAAGCCTACTAGATGGAATGTTTGTATGTATTCTTTTTTTCTTAAATATTACAACGAGTGATGTAAATAGAGAGAGGGATAAGCAAATAGAAGCAGAGGGAGGGACGGAGGGTAGAAAAGAGAAACATAAATCAATACAAATACATGAGGAACAAAGGTTATACACAAAGGTCACAATTGTTTTAAATGTCTTTCTATTTCAAAGGAACTGACACAAACAGGGAAACTGTTGAAAGATTCACTTTCAATTAAATTCTTCATTGAATAGTAATTCATGTATTACAATAATAGTAAGAGATAAAGAGATCGTTGTCATATCAAATGATGAATAACTATTTGTCGATATGTTTATTTGGTCTTTTTATCACAAACAATTCGATGACAACTATCATCTTCAACATCATCACTATGATCAGTATGTACACGCATATCAATAGGATTATTAGTATTATCAACAGTGACAGTATCCTCAAAACTTGTAACATTGTTTGGATTGTTAGTATTACTACTACTACTACTACTAGTAGTATGATTATCTTTGTGATTACTAATATGTCCAGTATGCTTTTTGGTAGACTGTTGTTTGAAACATTTAGTAGATTTGATACAAGTTGCGGAAGACGATGATGAACCACCACGAGTTGTATTGGCAGACTGAAATAAAATGAAATAAAATGTTTTAAAAATTAAAGAATATTAACCACATAATTGAAAGATGTGGTGTAAACTGAGGTTAGATTATGATGTTAACATTTTTAATGTTCATTCATTGTGCCATATGTATCTGCATTGGCTTGGACAACTGAATTTGTTCTTGACAATCGACTAAAGTAAACAGGATGAAGGACCAAGTAGACGCCCAACTTCGTGACCAACAGGCAGGATTCCGTAAGGATAGATCGTGTACAGACCAAATCGCAACTCTACAGATCATTGTGGAACAATCAATTGAATGGAATTCATCACTCTACATCAACTTCATTGACTACGAAACGGCATTTGATAGCGTGGACAGAACAACACTATGGAAACTTCTTCGACACTACGGCGTGCCTCAGAAGATAGTCAATATCATACAGAGCTCATATGATGGATTACACTGCGTAATTGTGCATGGAGGACAGTTGACAAAGTCGTTCGAAGTGAAGACCGGTGTTAGGCAAGGTTGCTTACTCTCACCCTTTCTCTTTCTCCTGGTGATCGACTGGATCATGAAGACGTCAACGTCTGAAGGGAAACACGGGATACAATGGACATCTAAGATGCAGTTGAACGATCTAGACTTCGCAGATGATCTGGCCTTTCTATCCCAAACGCAGCAACAGATGCAGGAGAAGACGAACAGTGTAGCAGCAGCCTCAGCAGCAGTAGGTCTCAATATACACAAAGGGAAAGGCAGGATTCTCTGATACAACACAGAATGCACCAATCCAGTCACAATTGACGGAGAAGATTTGGAAGATGTAAAAACCTTTACATATCTGGGCAGCATCATTGATGAACACGGTGGATCTGATGCAGATGTGAAGGCGCGGATCGGCGAAGCAAGATCAGCATATTTACAACTGAGGAACATCTGGAGCTCAAAGCAACTGTTAACCAACACCAAGGTCAGGATTTTCAATACAAATGTCAAGACAGTTCTACTGTATGGGGCAGAAACCTGGAGAACTACGAAAGCCATTATCCGGAAGATACAGGTGTTTATTAACAATTGTCTACGCAAAATACTTCAGATCCATTGGCCGGACACTATCAGCAACAACGTACTGTGGGACAGAACAAACCAGATCCCAGCGGAGGAAGAAATCAGGAAGAAGCGCTGGAAGTGGATAGGACACACATTGAGGAAAGCACCCAACTACGCCACAAGACAAGCCCTCACATGGAACCCTCAAGGTCAAAGGAAAAGAGGAAGACCAAAGAACACATTACGCCGAGAAATGGAAATAGACATGAGAAAAATGAACAAGAATTGGATGGGACTAGAAAAGAAGGCCCAGGACAGAGTGGGTTGGAGAATGCTGGTCAGCGGCCTATGCTCCATTGGGAGTAACAGGCGTAAGTAAGTAAGTAAGTAAGTAAGTAATCGACTAAAGTGCCTAGTATTAGTAAACCGAATAATGACTACAAAAATCATATGAATATACACAACTCTTCCTCGAACCAAGGCAAAGGTGTATAAGCTAAAATTTTGACTGAGTGTACAATTGACTTCATCCAATATGATTCCTTGTTGATCATCTCTCATCTACCATTTGACCTTGAGATGTTATATAGAGACAGGCGCATGATGTCTTCAGCTGATCAACAAGTCAATACGAGATCCAAACAGCTGTAGGTACAGTAATGTTTTTTTATCACTGAATTAAACAAAAAGGTTAAGAAAGATCAGTGAAATTTGGTAACATTTACTGAGTTGATAGATGCTTGATAACTCATCCAGTAAGGCTTGAAGAATAATAAAGAATGACGAAAATGTGAACTGATAAAAAGTCTACCTAATGACCGTGACCTGTGTATGGCAGTGATAGCAAAAGGAATGAGAAAGACAGCGGCGATACATAACACAAGACAACTATTCTGACTTAATAAGAAAATAGGCAATAACGACACAAATGTTAATAAGACTATATTCGAAAAAGATGAAACGGTGATACACTTTCAATCTAAGAAATTAAAAGGGATGAATAGAGAACTTCAGAGAATACTGTTGTGGATGCGGAGGAATAGACCAATAATTATCATGTTAAGTCCAATGGTGTCCTTGGACTTTAAATGGACATTTCCTATTGGTCAATATCTGTTCGCTTGTTGAATATTGTACAAAATGTTGTTTTCTATTTTTATGGTACGATGTGGTATGCTTGATTGGTATATAAACAAAGTATGTTTGAAATATAATGATTCATATCTCCGAGGCTGTGGCTTGTGTTCTGGACTCAACTGACTGGGCTAGACAGGGAAGCGAGACCAATCGAGACTCTAGGCCGTCCGTTCGTGTTTACGTGTCACTGTAATCGGTCGATAAGTACGCCGCTCTCTAATTTTCCAGTCAAGAACACAACAATTAGCACAGGGTAAAAATCGACTCAACTTAAAGTCATAACAAATACTTTAGCCAATACACAGAAGATCGTGATGGCTTAACACCGATGACCTTGGTCTTGATTCCTGACTATCCCAGTTTATAAGAAAGGACTGAAAACTTCTAACGATTACCACAGATGAGTCAGTTTGACTGAGTGTCTAAAATACTAACCTAACTCATGAAGAGTGAACTCGAGGAAATCAGGGATGTTCAAGAACTGAATGTATGTGTATTGACCAAATAATCACTTCCGTCAGGTTTTTGAACATTGCCATAATTATCAACATCCAAAACAGTTGTATTTCTTGACTTTGGGGCAACATTCGACTACGTTGACCGAGGGGCTAATGTGGAAATGGTTATCATCAAAAAGTATGCTGAAGAACTTTGTGAATACTCTCTCCTTGAAAATATGAAATATATCAATCAGCTTATTATGTAGTAGTGGGTAATTAGACTGTAAAGTGTAAAACATCGCCTGGCAAGAGTTGTTTCACTGCTTTTTTATAATTGCAAATTGAGTCAATTGCTCTACTAGAGTTGAAAAGTTCATCAATTGAGAATAGAGATTAAAAAACTTTAACAACGCCAATTCTGAAAAATCAATTATTAAAAATGCCGTAAATATGTCACAATACTCAGTCGGACCGCTATAACGTAGGACCAGGCATATATATGCATCGGTCCAAGTTGCCACACCTCATTAGCACAACATCAGATTCATAGAAGCAGTTAACTCAATGGTGTAATATATAAAAGAAAGACTTTATGTAAGAATATGATACAGGGAGAAAGAATTAGTTCGTAGAAAGAAAGATATCAAACATTTTTAGTATCATAGTTTAAGGAAAGATAGACAGTGTATACACCTACACCATTGTGATCGATTCTGAGCCATGTCACCAAGAGTCTCCAACTATTGGCTACGATAGTCACGCGGACCCCAACCAAGTAGTCTGCAACTACCAACATGGCTAAGACTAGAAATGAGTGACTTCAGGCACTAATGCCACATTTAAGTTTATGTCACAGTACTACGAAATCCTAAGCAATGTCTCACGTAACTGTCCAATACAATCCCAAGGGAAACGGATAACTAGTAATAGTTCATATAAAAAAATGATGATCATTTGAAAACGTCACTGTGACCGTGTAGTTGGGACATTTGAAGTTCAATGTCATGAAATGAACTAAGTCAAATTTTAACCAATAAGTTCATATTGTGAATTCCACTCTACCTACTAAAGTGGCAACGCACTATCATAAGCCCACTTACAATAAATATGGCTCATGTACCACTACAGGAAAATCCATGTGGTTCCAGAGTTGGGTTAAACTCGTGATCTTATTAAACCTCTGAGTCATCAATCTCAAAACTCTTTCTCTGAAGACATTTAGGGATATTGGATAAAACAGATTAACATATCAATAAAAATATGAATTATCATGATACAATTTACATTTAATATTGCAGTATACATACCATATAGATTAAACGGATTTGTTCAGCTGCCCATTTAGCTAACTGTCGATTTTTATCTGTACTGGACAGTGATGATGCCTGAACTGGTGATACAGTATTTAAACTATTGACTTGTTGTTGTTTAGGTGATAATTGATTTATATTTAATCGACTACTCTGGTTATTATGATGATTGACATTGATGCCAAGATTATCATCAATAAGACTTGAATAAGTGTTTCCAACAGATGGTCCATTGTGCAGTTTATTCTCTGTTGTTAACGGTAGCATCTTAATTGATTTTGATAGATGATTATCTAAAGCGGAGCATGTCTAAAAGCGAAGATAAAGAAATAAAAATGGTTGGAAAATGTTTAAAATCGAGGTGAACAAGAAAAAACCAAAAAAAGAAATAGAACACGTTCTTTTGTTTGACTACATCTATGTGTTAAGGACTATCAATACATACATGACTGCTGAATGCATAGAAAATTCGAGGGAACGCACAAAAGAATGAGAGTTGTGTTGTGGAGATAATGCACTGAGAAAACAGATCTTTTAAGGCAGATTTAACAATTCATTAGGAGTCGTGATCATAGCAAGCTAAACTTAAGATGAGGACGCCCATCAACCCATCGTGTTTATGAAAATATTGAATACAAGTGGTCCCTTGTGCCTGGATAGTTGATCATAAATTGAGTTTGGGAAAAATTTTGTCTGTGTACAAAATTCTAGCAAAACGTGAAATGACAAAATAGGCTAAAGAGTCTAAATTCCAGGGTTGCTGAAAACATTGTTACAGAAATGATACAAATGTACTGCTGACATACATGAGAAGTAGGTTGCTATCTGTTCAATGAAGAAGAAATTATACTGATTTACTGTTTGGATCCAAGATGTAAAAATACATACACCCTAGATAGATAGATCAAATGAATTAACTAATGAGTATAATATCTAGCCCCTACATGCCCTGGTACGGCCGAGAGTGGTGAGAGTCACCTCTCCCTTTCGAAATGCTCTCACATGGACACATGTATAAGTATAATATAAGTCTGGTCATTGTGAGGATTTGTCGACAGAGTGTACCTGTAGCATACAGAATTCAACTTATATTCAAATGGAAACTTAAATATTTTTGAGTTACTCTCAAATGAACAGTTAGACAATCAGTCAGTCGGAGGCAACATAGGACATGGCATATATTTGTATTCAGTCAAGTTCCAAGACTCTATTGTCACAGAAAGACGGAATTTTTAACGCATATCCCACAATGATAGAGGTAGTAACACTACTAGCAATGATAGAAAAGATTAGGCAACGAAGATACGATTCGAGAAGTAAATATAAATGAAATAAAAAATAGTAAATTTATGAAGACTTTACAAAGCTTAAAATGTGAAAGAAGATCAAGAGTGAATCCATCTTCACCATTTTGAGCCATTGGTTACAACAATCACGCTGAACCCATCGCTCAGTCTCAAAGTCAGTCTTCATGGATTGATTTCATGTTTTAGTTTGAATGAATCTAGCCTTTTTCTAAGCTACTCCTCTAACACCAGACAACACCAATAGTCGAACCAGTCGGTAGATAAGGGCACGCAATATACGTCCGAACCACACTTCAGTCGATAAACATTTACTACCTAGTCAATCGATTTTGTCATATTTATCTAGTACTCTGCATATAACCTCAGAATTGCTCTCTCCACAGTCCCGAAATACACGACCAATCATTCAAAATATCTATGATCGAATACTAATAATCAAAGGATATCCTCCGTTTTTAAGGGTTACATTTCACATGTACAGAGTAGAACGGAGAGAACTGTTGCACAGCAAACTTGTCATTTAGTTTGGAAATGGATATCTCGTCTATGATACAAGTGATGCATGTTGGCAAAATCGAAGGGAACTTTTTAAATTCGTGCCGACATCTCGTCAGTCACTAACTCATCAGGAGTGATGAGACTTCCAAGATAAGTGAAGCGGTCAACAAATGAGGCATGAAAACTATAATTGTCTATCTATTCCTCATGGTATTGGTCATAATCCAGAACACAATGTATATTTAAATATTTTAACAGTCATAAGTAGATTCTTTTAAGGAAAATCCGGACGTAACATAAAGAAAAGACAGTGATCACTATAAGACTATGCAGTGAAAGCAAATTATTAATTAAAATGAAGTCAAGATATAGAACGTAACCGGAGATTCATAATAGAAGTCAGGCGTTTTGTACAATCACTTTAGAGGGAATTACATGTGCAGTTATAAACATACCCAGTAAAAATCATTCTAAGGTACATTTTACTTCATTTAATCAATTAGTGGTGAATTTCAGAGCATAATTTTTATTGAGAGTATCATTTCAAAATCTAATTTCCAGTTGATTTGCATTCTTTATCTGGAAAGTTGAAATACACTACAGTGGTGATGTGTTTACAGGAGACATATGTAGGTAGGTACCTTTAGATAATTAAAGTGGAGCCTGAAGTGAAAATTACAGTTTTATATACAATACTGATAGACCAAATCAACGGGAAAATGTTCAGCAATGCTAGATATCACATTTTTATTAAACATCGAAAAAGGATGGTTATCCTTATACGTTTCATTGGGATTTTATGACTGGTTAGCTATTGTTAAAATTAAAAATAGAAACCATACACAGATGTCTGGAACAACCTTCAGAACTACTAGTACTGAAAATGTAACACTAATGAAATAACATAAACTGAACATGATTAAACTAATAGATTTGCCTAGTTACAAAGACTTGTTTCTATGATGGGTAAGAGTGGATGTTAACTAGCCATTTTTTTAGCTTTATTTCTCACCATGATTGCTTTTGTGTATTATGTGATAAAGGAATTACATTTATAGTATTATAAATCGATTGTACGATTATACTAGGCTTTTTCTTCCAAATAAATGATATATCAAATGAGGCTAGATAGATCGCATGCTGTATCAATGTGACATTGTAGATGGGCGGTTAATGGTTCCACTCACACATTCCAGACTGGATTAGTTCGACTATTAGCAATAAAGCTTCTTATATAGTATTTAGTTTCTTCCTTTGTATAAATGAGTTGATCTGGTGTCGATCTGACCGAAATAAACACAACAGTACATGGCGTTGAATAAAAAAAAATGCAAAATTCGAAAAAGTCAATACATCGAATAAAAAAAACTATTGACTTACAAGTAGAAGTCCGTATAAACTACGAAGGTTATTAGGGCACAATAGACAAGCTTGACTATAATAAGCTCTGGCTAATTCTAAATTTTCTGTTCCACCTTCAGTGTATTTAATCTGAAGAAGTAATGAAAAAAAGAAATCAAATATACACAATGAACATGTTCAAAATTAACTTTGATTTAGTTTAATGTGTTAAGTATTATACAATCAGTTAGTCAGCTACAATGTAGGACGAGGGACGTATGAATATGCATTGGTTCAAGTTTCCAGACCTTATTAACGCAACAAGATAAACAGAAATAGGATAATTTGACATAAATAACAGAATTAATGAACAGTTCTATTTTTTGCTTCCAGTTCAAAACACAACAGTTAAATACATTTTCTATTTTGTATATCTTAAGCACCCAAATGCTCTGGTACGGCCGAGAGTGGGGAGAGACACATCTCCTTCTGGAAATGCTCTCACATAGCCACATGCATACAACCACTGCCACACAAGTTCTACTCACTGCCTTCTCGCGGCATTACCGTTGTTTACGAAATTGAGAGAACAAAAAGCAAATGTTCTGCGCTTTAACCGGCCGTACTCATACTCCGCACTTTGTAGAGTTGTAAAAGACATCTAAGTTATAGGAAGCGTCTACGAAGTCAGTAATAAGCATTCCAGTAAGAAACCTGTCAACTGTATGCGATGCACATTGTTCCGAAAGATGGTCGCGCAATATCATATATTGATTGAAGTTCGGTATTAACATCGTCGGATCCCGGCTCAGTGGTCTAGGGGCTAGGTGTTCGCGCGTGATACCGGAGTTCAAGTTCGGTGCACGAATTGCTGAAGAGTTCCACACTAGAACTGAACGGTCATCCAGTACTCCCAGGTTTTTAATGGTGGTCTAAAATCGATTGGTTCACGATCTCAGTGAAATACATTTATTGCCATCAAATAACAGGCAGTACTACTCACAGAAGTGAACAATGTAAAAATACCCAAAATATATTCTGATAAAAAAACACTCCGAAGAATCGGATTTCATTACCGACTACAAATAGTAGAAATCATTTGAAACTAATCCCTATCAAAGTCTGAATCTACTGAGTTATAATTCTCTTAGAATCAGTTGAAAACTGGAAGTAAAAGTAGTAACCTATAATTTAACATAGTGAACGCATAACTAGCAATACGTTCTACCCTACAATTTTCACTGATAGTAAGGTAACAAGAATCTAAATTCTAAACCAAATGAGTTTAGTTTGATTTTCAGCCTTCAATCAGTAATTTAAAAGTTCTGATGCTGCCCCAATCAATTCAGTGTAAATGGGTGGATAATTTTAGAAATTCCTAGACAGTGTGGAAGCAAACTCAAGTGCACAAACCCGTACTTAGTAAATGGACACTACAAAAAATCAAAACGATTGTAACAATAGTTAGATATTATGCTTATACATAGTATTTGCAGATAAATTATACCATGAACTGACTAGCCAAACAACTACTGGAAATTAGGAGTAGCTGGGTAGCTGTTTCATGGTGGATCGGAACTCGTCAGCTATACGCATGTACCACCCTTTCAAGGACTCAAACAACAATTAATCCTCGTGACAAGCGCCCTACCTATATACCAATGAGTTGGGATTCTCTATCTTATTACCCGATGTCATCAATGACAGTTGTATCACTCTATACTTGATTGACTCTCAACATTTACAGCTTTTAACAAAACTATTAAGAATTCTTCTTCTAGTCGCTAGTGAGCGCATAATTACTATCAGCGTGAAGTATTTTTTCAGGATATCCAGATCAAACACAAAACATGATGACCTCTAATTAAATAATAGTTACTAGTTTTCAAAAAGAATAAATTAGTCATTTTTAGGATATCAGAGCAATAGAACACTTCAACGAACACATTGAAGTAACATTCTATCAAAAGTAAAAGATAGTTTACATTTAAAGAGATCAAGAACATTTCTTTCAAAAAAAAATATTGTGTTTAAGATGAACTCACCAAAAACAACAATATTGATGCTTTCAACAGATCAACAACTGTATCGACATACAAATCTGCTATCCAAAATTGAAACTCTTAATAAGATCGTTTAGTGTATTAAAACAGTTTTGTATAGAAATCCATAACTGATCAAAGTTAAAACTGAAACGGAAACTCTTTGAAAGAGTAACACTAATGGTAGTTTGTATGAATCTGAGGAAATCGCTAATTAGTTTGCACACGATTCCCTTACTTATGATGAATGAATAATCCAAAGATTTTATTTATTCCTAGAAACGCACCTAAACTTCATGTCAAATTATGAAACAAGAATGATTAGACATGAACTACGCAGCTAAGACCGACAACCAGATAAACTTACCTCAGCATAACGTTGATAATAGAGATGATTAGAAGGATTAGACAAAATCATTTCTTCCATACAAAACGCAGCGTGCTTATAGTCACATTCTGATAGATAAAGGTCAGCTAATTCATTCCATGCTTCAAAATCGCTCATAAAACTATACGGAAACAAAAAAGATATTTGAAATAACAAATCATTTTATTTTCTTAAACATTGTTTTAAGACTACTTAAATGAATTTAAGTAGACTAATACTTTGAAAGTATATTAAGTATAGATGCCGAGATAGTTTAATTAGTACGTTTAAACCTGTTGAAATGTTGGTAAATCATAATTAATATATATCATATTTTGACGTCCCATTTCAGTAGTTAGATTCACACCCTGATACGGCTGAGGGCGGGGAGATTCTGCTCTCCCTCTCCAGATGCTCTCACATGGCCACGTGCGTAAAACTACTGATACACAAGTCCTACTCACTGCCTTCTCTCGTCAGGGATGTTGTCTACGAAATTGAGGACGAAAAGCAAATACCCGGTGCTTTAACCAGGTCGGTGGAAACGGTGGGTCCACCTAGAGGAGTTGGAACACCTATGTTCCAAACCAATGGTGTACAAGGGCTCCAGGATCCTGAGGAAACAAATGGATTATGAACCTATTGTTGATCACCGGCTACCATGGTACTGAATCTCCTGACGTTGTTCCACTGCATTGTGGATCAAACTATTAGGTCGAAGGCTGTGGCGCCCCAAGAAAACCACCTGCTTCAGTTTGGGCACCCGAGTAATATTACAGCCCTTACACATATCGAATGAGACCTGTGTGGCGCATATGTATTCGGTGCACCTTTGTACCAATGTCTATGTGTTCAAATAAATAAATAAAAACTGTGTAACCAAAAAAATTCAACACAACATAGAGAAAACACGAACCTTTACTTACGACAAGGATATCATTTAAGTTTGGAAACAAACAATCAGTTGTTATGCAATGCAAATTATAGAATCTATCGTGGCATCAGTGCTTGAAGTCACTAACTTCTAGTCTTAGCCATGTTGGTAGATACAGACTACTTGTTTGGGGTCCGCGTGACTATCGTAATCAATGGTTGGAGACTCTAAGTGACATGGCTCAGAATCGATCACAATAGCGTCGGTGTATACACTCTCTGTCTTCCTCTAAACTATGAGATTAAAATCGCTCCATATTTTTCTTTCTACGAACTGATTCTTTCTTCCTGTACTATATCCTTATGTGCAATCTTTGTTTTATATATTAACATCACTGAATCAACTACTTTTATGACTCCGGTGTTCATCTTGTTGTGTTAATGAAGTATGGCAACTTGCAACGATGCATATATGTGCCTGATCATACGTTGTAGCTGACCGACTGATAGAATCTATCTATCTATTTCATTGTCAAACTCATTCTTTTTTTTATAAAATCACAATATATTCAAAAATGTATATGCTTAATAAATCGGATCAATAAAGAATCTGTTATCACTATGACTGGATAGTAAATTATTTTATTTCATTTTTTCTCTCAACAACAACAAAATCCATCCAAAGTTTATTGTACAAAGGTCATAACAACGAGAAACAAAACAACAACTTGAACAAACAAAACATAATTTATAGTTAGAGAAAAAACAGTCTATGTTAACTGGAATAGGTAAATGAACTATTACGAGAATAATAACCCAATTCTTACAATTCATTAATAACATTCAAAGAAACTTGAAGATAAATTATTACAGTTCTACAATTATCACTAGTACGTAGTACTGATGTATCGCGGTTTACATTCTCAATTTGGTGGAGCTCACATATAATTACGACATTTCATAATGAATTAAGAAGAAAAATTCCTTTAAAATCATACAATCCAACACAAAAGCAAAAATTAATTAACGATATTTTACAACCGTCATCCATTGCTTAAGGTGAATAATTGTAACAATATGCGGCATAGTTGAACACCAACAGTCATGGATTCTCACTAGAATTCCAGGAATGACACCTTAAATTTAGTCATTAATGAGCACATGTTTATTATTATAGGGTTTTGTGGATGCGCAGAGCCAATCAGAGTTCTAGACTGCTCAAACGTGTTTACGCCCTTGTACGGCCGAGAATGGAGAGAGTCCGCTCTCCTTTTCCAGATGTTCTTACATGGCCGAGCGTATATAGCCTCTACCAGAGAAGTCCTACTCACTGCCTTCCCTCATCAGGGTATTGTTTACGAAAATGAGAGGACGAAAAGCAAATGTCCGGCGCTTTAACTGGATTCCAAACCAATGGTGCACATCGGCTCCAGTATCCTGCGGGAACAAACGGCGTACGAACCAATTGTTGGTCACCGGCTTCCATGGGACTGCATCTCCTTACTATGCTCTACTGCCTTGTGGATCACACTTTCAGGTCGAAGGCTCCGAGTGTGGCCTCCTAAGAAAACCACCTGGTTCGGTTTGAGCACCCAGACAGTATCACAGCCCTCACATATATCGAATGAGATTTGTGTGGCGCATATGTATTTGGTGCCTCCTTGTACCAATATCTATGTGTTAAAATAATAGGAACGCGTCAATGATTCGATCGATAAGTCACTACTCTCTAATCAGCGGTCACAGGTTATAACAACACTGTTTAGGATTCTCCCATACTAGAACGAAACAACTGTCCAGTGCTTCTAGGTTTTTAATGATAGTCTAGCTAAGATTAACTTATGATTTGAAAACTTTGAAAATTCTACAACCACCACAAAAACTCCCCTACACTAATCACAAAAAATAATAATAAATGTCAGTGGAAGGAAACAGATTATTAGCGAGACTATGATTGATGGACCAACCAATCACGTATAAGATAACAGGTCTTGGATTTTGGCGCGAAATCCACCCATCCATTTGGTTAAATAGAGTCTAGGCATTATAGCTAATATCAGTTCGTGATGAAAACCTTAAATCTAATTCCTAACCTTAACCATCAATTATAAATCATAATTCCAATTCCTCACACCAATGTATAACCCTCATTTGGTCTTAGTTATCAGGTAGATACTCACAAGGTGAGTATAGCGTCGCTCAAAAGTGATCCATAAATTATAGTTTCACCAGATTATTTGGTTCATATCATGAACCAACTGATAATAAAATCTATCAGCAATTAAATTCTTAAATGAAAGATTTTAGATATAAAATTCTAATAATTTCTATAGTAGGAGGAAACAATTGTTCATCAGTTTATCATTAACTATGTATTAGTTATCAGTGAAACAAAAAACACAGTTAATCTGGAAGGAGAATATGTAAACGGAGTACAATATTCAATCTACAATGTGTGATCAAAGCGTTCAAAGAAACAAGCGTTTCAGTGTTATTCTACTCAACAGAAACCACAATATTGTTTCAATTTATAAGGGACATAAACCCTCTTATGACAATCAATGAAGAATCACTTTTATTGAAATTGTATCTAAAATCTGAACTTCAATAATAATCTGATGTATAACTAGAGTTTGTGCAGAGTAAGCCTAAGAAAAACAGGCTGGTTACAAACGTAGATTTATACCAAATCTTTATCATACAGCGGGTTATGGAACGTATACATAGTTGTATTCCTTGATCTAAATCCACCCATTCGACTTTGTTGATCGAAAGGTTCAGTGGCGGTGTCTTTAAATGAAAGTAAATTGTCCTTACATAGATCATTTACTGGAAAGCTTATGGTTGAGAGAGATATTATGGTGAAATGTGATCAAGTAATTTTCGTCAAACTGTTCACTTTCTGTATTTTTACTTAAATTTGTCATCGACATTCTGTTAAAGATAATGATCTAATCGTCTGACTTTTCCGGAGTTATGATTCACTTGTTAACTTATAATACACGCGTAACACAGTCCTGTTTGGTGAAGACGTTGGAAAAACGTAGTCTTCTGGCCAGCTTGGGGAACAATATAAGCATGCTTGGGATGCGCTTCTTTCCATCTAAACATAAAATGTTGCTTCAGGACTGGTTTGGATCAATACCTAAACTAATAATGGGGAGTGAAGTAGTTGGAAGTATAGATCATTTTATCTTTTAAGTCTCATCACTCCTGATGAGTTAGTGACTGACGAGATGTCGACACGAATTTAAAAAGTTCCCTTCGATTTTGCCAACATGTATCACTTGTATCATAGACGAGATATCCATTTCCAAACTAAATGACAAGTTTACTGTGCAACAGTTCTCTCCATTCTACTCTGAACATGTGAAATATAACCATTAAAAACAGAGGATATCCTTTGATTATTAGTATTCGATCATAGATATTTTGAATGATTGGTCGTGTATTTCGGGACTGTGGAGAGAGCAATTCTGAGGTTATATGCAGAGTACTAGATAAATATGACAAATCGATTGAGTAGGTAGTAAATGCTTATCGACTGAAGTGTGGTTCGGACGTATATTGCGTGCCCTTATCTACCGACTGGTTCGACTATTGGTGTTGTCTGGTGTTAGAGGAGTAGCTTAGAAAAAGGCTAGATTCATTCAAACTAAAACATGAAATCAATCCATGAAGACTGACTTTCCAACTGAGCCCTCGGAATTGTTCACAATTGTGCAGATGCCTTCATTTACTATCTTTCATCAGAATCTGAGTTCAGAACTCTACTTACATATTTTGTTCTCTACACTTAATCTTTTCCACTAGTACTATTGATACTGTTATTGCTTCTACTACTCTTGAATTTGTCTTGAAATAATTTGAAACGCTTTGATAATTTGGTACGTTCCATATGACACAATAATTAATATGTAGTTATATATATATATATTATATATATATATATGTTTTGTTAGAACTTACATTTTTAAGTATTCCCTTAATTCATTAATGGCTTCGGGTATTTTCTGTTGGGCTATTAAAATTGTAATCATTCGTTTACGGGCCAACTAAATGAAATTAACCCAAAATGGAAAAAAGTATGCACATTGAATAATAATAATAATAATAATAATAATAATAATAATAATAATAATAATAATAGTGATATTATATACAAAACTGAAGGCATATATATATATATATATATATATATATATATATATATATAACACACTTGAAGTCTACTCCGGACATTCCCCGTCACAATACCTCATATTATCGAAATTAAGAAAACAAAACACGATAAGTACAACTTAATATATAAATTGTCATCAATACAATCATACGACATAAGGTAACAATCATATCTATCTGATTTATCTAATCACTTAATAATAACTGTGATATATTGCAAATTGTGCTTAAATATATCTAATTCATTATTGAAATGAATTAACACAACCATGAACTGTTGATAAGTGGAAAGTGAACAATTTAGAAATAGATTTTTATAGTAGATGAGTTATCACTTTTGAGATAATATTTAAATGAGAAGAACATATATGAGCAAAGAGATTTTTAGATCAGATGGATGATTCTGATGGAGTTTTGTTCTTTGAGCTCAATGGTTTGAGCATAGAGCTTTCATCGTTTTTCTGAACGATATCATTAGCACATTTATTTATTTATTTTAACACATAGATATTGGTACAAAGAGGCACCAAATACATATACACTACACAAATCTCATTCGATATATGTGAGGGCTGTGATAATGCCCGGGTGCTCAAACCGAACCAGGTGGTTTTCTTAGGAGGCCACACTCGGAGCCTTCAACTTGAAAGTGTGATCCACAAGGCAGTAGAGCATCGTAAGGAGATGCAGTCCCATGGAAGCCGGTGACCAACAATTGGTTCGTACGCCGTTTGTTCCCGCAGGATACTGGAGCCGATGTGCACCATTGGTTTGGAATCCAGTTAAAGCGCCGGACATTTGCTTTTCGTCCTCTCATTTTCGTAAACAATACCCCGGTGAGGAAAGGCAGTGAGTAGGACTTCTTTGGTAGAGGCTATATACGCGTGGCCATGTGAGAGCACAAAGTTCATATGAAAGCTCCACGACTAAACTATTCAGCTCAAAGAATAAAACTCCATCAAAATACGAGTATAGAACCTAGTATTAGTTCACAATAAAATGTGAACCCAATGGGTTATTGCTTACAGTGATTGGTTTCCAATTAATACGTTTCACATTAAAACCCGACATTATCTACTTTCGATTCAAGTGGACTCGATAGCAATAGTATTAGTATAGTCTACAAATATTAAAAATGCACCACAAAAAAAAAACAGTACAAAATCTTGTACTGGGTAAATGAATTACACTACTATATTGATGATTTAGTTATTTGGTTTGTTTGTTCATTAAGGTCTATTCTTTGTATACAACATTACTTTGTAACATTGTTTATCAATGAATAACGCATATCAAACGTATTTATTCTGGAACAGTGAAACTCAAACTTGATACTTCAATTGACTAGCTCTCTTATTCTTCATTCAAGATTATCAAACGAATTCATATATCTAGGAGCATTTTGAATCATACTAATAAACGATGATAATTAACTTATTAAAGTTTCTGTGAGACTATAATTTATGAACGAACCAATCACAGGCCTTGGATTTTTACGCAAAATTTATTCATCCATATGATTAAATAGCGTTTTAGCAGTTTAGCTGATGTTAGTTCGCGATGAAAACCCTAAATCTAATTCCTAACTTTAACCATCAGTTGTAAATCATAATTCTAATTTCTCACATTGGTTCATAACCGTCATTTAGTTCTAGTTACTAGGTGGATATTCTCAAGGTCAGTCCAGCGTCACTCAAAGGTGATCCATAAATTATCGACTCACGTAAGATTCTAGCAATAATATTTTAAACATGAAGCAGTACAAATCTGATCATTTAGTAACCGATCATCGATTGCTTTCAATTCCTTAATCGGAAGTCAACAAAATCTGAAGGTCTTGTTTGTTTCTTCTTAAAAGTATAAGGTATTAATATAACAGATAGTTTAAAATATTTCTCTTTCTATCTCTTTCAAGCGTAACTATGATAATACGTTAATACGATAATAAGACTAGTCACATTATATCAAATCCGGGACTAAAAATAGAGAACCAGATTACCACTAAATACTACTTTATTCAACATGGTTACAAGCAGTTACGCTCGGTGAGTTCAGAGTAGAAATAACATTTAATAGCCAATAGGTTAAGCACCTGTTTGTCTACGATCAGTGATCAACCATGTTTCATTTTCACTACCATACATCAGGGATCCATCAATAATCAGTTTCAAAAGAAAATAAATCTGAATGTTCTGTGCATCTTAGTCTTTAGCTTCACATCTTATATGATTCAAGTTGGTGACAGAAACTATCAGTTCCATTAGGTGAACGCAATTTAAAGAATAATATATTCATGCAGGTTGATTAAATTACAGCTAACAATTAAAAATGCTGTAAAATTAGAGAGTTAAAATAATTTCAATACTACAAATGCTCTACTGTATGTATACAGAGAACTTAACATCCACAAATACTACTTACTGTATTGGTTGGATCATCTTTTATGAGTTTCGAGTACACATTCTGAGCATCTTCGAAGCTTTTGTAAACAAAAAGGAAGTACATACTCACACAACCAGGAAAAATGATGTTTTACTTAACAAATAAAAACATTTTAATATCATATAACATTATAATCAGTTATAAACCATATAGCGTCAAGTATCACCTCATTTGAGTACAACCATCCTTCTTTCGATGTTCAATAAAAGTAAGATATCTGGTATTTTCAAGTACCTTTCTGTTCATTTAGTGGGTAAGTCCTGGATATAAGAGCACAATTTTCATTAGCGATCTCATTCGGAACACCTAAAGCTATCTACATATTTGTTTTATGAAGACCCCGCTAGAGCGCATCTTAACTTGCCGGATGAAAGAGTAAGGAAACTGAAAATATGAGCTTAAAATGATATCCTCAGTGAAAGTTATGCTCCTACACGCAGCACTCACATATTAATTGAATGGAAAAGTACTCTAGAATGCTTAATAGCACACACATATCTGTTATGTCCTCTGGCCCACCAAATATCATGTGACAAGATCGCCAATCAAAATACTGACTTGTATGACTTTGTCTCTGCTAAATCAGTGATGCATTGACCAGCACGAATAGCCTTGAGTCAACTCAGAGTCCTTATTAGTCTTCTGTATAGTAGCTTCTCGCCTAGCTCAGCCCGTTCAGTCCAGAACACCAATCTCAGCGTCAGCGATATGAATCATGTATTTCGAATATACTGGGTTTATATCCAAACCAAACAGACCACATCGCACCACAAAATAGAAAATATACATTTGTACAAGATCTAGCCAAAAGTGGCTGTCAATATGGGAGACTGTAATTAATAGACTGAGCATAACTCAAGAACGGCAAAACGTATATTAGTTTATAGGTCAAAGTAAAGTTTATAACAGGAGGATAGATACACATAATCTGACTACTGAATAGTTATAGATTAAGAATATACGTATAATATTTGTCCATAAATGGATCTCAAAAGTTACCATTCATAATTCTCGCCAGGATATAACAACCTGTTTTATCTTATCAACTCTCAAACGGACATTTAAATTAATTTACAATTGAAGCTCAACTGAATAAAAATCAATCTACTTTAACTTATTACTAACTTGACACAATTAATCCATGGCTGAGTTGTGTATACTCTTAAATAATTATACAAAAGTAGGATGGATTTATGAACAGATCGGTTACCTTCAATAGTTATTCAAGCTTCTTGTTAGACTTTACAATTACTATGAATAAACTACAAAATTTTGTGAACGATATCTTGAATGATAACATGATTTATAGATAATACTAAGCATTTTGTACTTCTTCACTGACACATCCCTCACTCTATTTCTGCTCAACACTAAATTTTAGTGCACGAGAGAAATTAATGGCATATTTCGATAGCAACCAAGAGATGGATGCTAACAGATTATATTATACTACTTGTCTAGAATTATATAAAAATATTCTCAAAGTTGAAAATATTCTCAAAATTAGTGCACAGAGAATCCAGTAGCCCCCCTCTCAAAAGAAATTCCTTCAAACTCATTGTCTCATTTAAAAAAAATAAGAGAATTCTATACAGAGTTACGGAAGAATGACAAACGATCTGTACGAGAAAAAGGGAACAAACACATGGACACATAAATAAAGACAACGTGTCAATCAAGATCCAAAAAGCATTATTGATCCACTTACTTTCCTTTACTTTCTAAGTACATACCAAAAAGACGATTAACACGACAACTATTACGAAATTTTGCCAAAAGACGATCAAGACATTCCTATAAATGTGTACATTAACAAGAAGACATATATTTTAGACATATTCTAACTGCTCTAATAAAAAGAAACTATGCTGTTTTAAATGAAAAACGGGAATACGGATACACAATGACTCGAAGTAAATTTAGAGGTAAATAACACAACAATTCGCTTTTGTAGGAAGTTCTGGTCTACCTAAACGGCTCCAGGTGGCTGAATGGTCAATTACAAGGGTGACATCATCAAATACGAAATGTGAAAACAACTTCCCTAAAGTCATTTGTGAGAATTGAACTTGCCTCTTTCAACGTTGGAACTTTGATGAGAATCGGACAACAGAGAGGTTTGGTTGTTTATTCGGAAATTTTTAGTATAGACTTTTGTTATTTCTCTGATACTCGCATTCAAGACTCTATTGAGGCATCACAAGTTCGTTCTCCATCCGTCAACCACAAACGTTAGCTTCATGTGAGCCTATTAGGGGAACCTGTAATCTTGGTATCCGCTTTAGTTAGTACTGGTTTCACATTACGTTAACATAACGAATCCCCACTTACAGCCATACACTTAGCCCCACTAAACAAATACAGAGAGGCAATGCAACATACTCTTCAAATATCTGGAGACACAGCAGCAACTTTTCTTCGTCAAGCATTTCTTGAATGCATTCCCGTTGACAGTCGTTGATGTGCTGTCCGTCTTAATGGCACAGTAAGATATCGAAAGATAAAGACACAAGCTGTTGTCTCTTTATCGCTTTTTGCCCATGCCAAAGACAACTGGAGCTCGGATGAAGTGAAAGATGAATTTCACAAGCTTTCTAACACCCTTCAGAAAGCACGGAGCTAAGACGTGGTAACTGTGTTGGATGATTTTAACGCCTAAGTAGGTAGAATAAGTCAAATTGGAAAGTACTTAGATGGGTCTTACGGAGTTCCAGTCCAACAAACAAAAAGTGGTGACCGTCTATTAGCAAGTGCGAACTTTAAGCATAAGGACAGACAATATAACCTAGTAACCCCCAACATCAACACGATGGACACAAATAAACCATGCTGCTACTAGCCATCATTGGAAAGGATTTATAAAAACTGCCGCCCCAAGTAGAGTAAATGGCCAGGTGACAAAACGCAATTCTATGCGCTTTATGATCATAAGAAAATCACAACAGGTAAATATTGATCCAAAGTGAAAAGTTCAACAATGAACTAAAGGAAGAATCAGCTAAGCGTTTGATCGATCAGAAAGCGAAATTTCATTATCAGGAAGCTTGACATGATAGTCAAACAACCGTAAGTACAAAATTGGTTTGTCATCAATGGAAACAAAAATGCTAGGAAAGATTGTTTGGTTTCGGTGGAATCTACTGAATGGTTAGATACCCGGAAACACATCTCAGCAAGCTCATAAAACGTTGAAAAAAATGACGAAGACTCCAACATACGCTAACGTAATTAATAGTGGACAACAAAAGAGATGAAAAAGGCAGTGACCATACAAAACACTAAATAATAATTCCGACTCTTTAATGGAATATGTATTAAAAACTGACTGCGAATGGGACTATTTCAGAAAAAGGCGGAACCAGAATTCACTCTCAGTACAGACTATTAAAATACTGGGCAGAACACTTTAAGGAATCATCTAGCGATCTTCTAGCCACCCTTTAGTTATTCATTATTTTCAAACAACCTAAATGGGGAATTAAAACAAGTTCGTTAACTCTTATTTGAAAAGTTAATATCTAACCTGTAAGGGAAAGCTAGAGGGCCTGATAGGGTGACTTTGAAGATTTTTACAGACGACGATTTAGTTTTAGCAACTAAGTTTACCGAGATATTAGTAAGAGCTTATGAGCTGAAAGTAATCCCAACTGAGTGGTCTTGATCCTAGTTCACAAGAAAGGACTGAAGCCTTCTCACGATAACCACAGATAAATTAGCTTAACTAACAATGTCCAAAATACTAGCCATTACAATCATCCGACGCTCAACTACTACTCTAGAATGTCTTCTTAAAAATTAAGGCAGTTTTAGACCTGCACGTGGGTGTATCGACTGGATATTCACAAAATCTCGACAGTTTCAGAAACCTGGCTTGGCATTCACCAACATGAGTCAGTTGTGACGTAGACAAATCTGCCTACCAAACAAAAAGAATGTATAACACTCAGCAGCATGCTCTGTATTACTTCATATATGTAGGGCATAGTCTATGAAAATAGATCATGTGTGCAGGCTTCTTATTTTCGATCATAGGTTTCTTTGAAGCACTGTTCGCGTATCTTAATACCAGTAAGCTTTGAGGTCTTGGTCTTTGTTTATTGGTTGCTGTGTCATTTGAGAGATAGGTCACCAGTCTTACAGATAATACGGAGGAACTAATCAAATCGGACTAAAGAACTCAATCGTTGCTACAATGACGGTTCGATCACACTGGCCCCAATACAATCCAAGTATTTGTTCTTTCTTTTCGTCGTTACATCAGACAGTTAGACGGATAATAAGATAATTAACAGTATAACAAGATTTTAGGCGAGATGAATGTAGTTTTAATCAACACCGAAAGATATTAGAAACGACAAAACTTACACAAGCTAAATCATCATCTCCCATATCTAGAGCGGCGATGAACACCTGTTCCAAAATCGAGTACTCTGTAAGAAAAGAACAATATTAAAAGATGTTGTTTAGGAAAATAGTTAACTGAAAATATGTCAACAACATGGATGACTATGAGCACTTCATGTTGGTTTTCTTCTACTGAGAATAAGACAAGTGATTGGAGAAAAGAATGATATGATCAAACCAACGTCGTTCCGAAGATTTGAAGGTCTGTTAGCAAATTAGGTATGATGGTATAAGCTGATTATAATTTATCAAAAGTAATAGATAAAAACTAACCAAATTTATTTTTATCTAAGTAGCAATTAAAAATTTGAAGGGACGAAGTATAAACTGTACTTCTGAACACTGACCCTCAGCCAGACAAATGCATTTAGATTGGTTTGTATTTTACTGCAAATTATGACTTAATCATTTGTAAATTCAGGCTGGGTGATATTAAACTGAATGTTCTGATTTAGTGCCCGTATGCATTATACCGATGGTTAGTGGAAATATGAAAAAATACTTAGTGAAACGACCAAGTAATCATGCTCACTACTAACTATAGCTATGAGGCTTATCATTTTGTATGAACAAGGTATTTAATCAGGTTGAATGTTATAAACAAGAAACGTGAGCCGATAAGTAGCTGTCTTAACACTTGAGGACAAAATTTCGATAAGATGCAAAAAAAATTTTAGACTGAAGTGCAAAATCATTCATTTTTATCCATCGAAAAATGAATTTACAGTTTAGAATCAGAATTCCTCGAAGTGATTGGGAATTGTTGTTGCTGAATACAAACTAACAGAGGAAAAAATACTATAGCCTGTATTCCATATATTCTTAATAGAATCCACAAACACAAACAGCGAGTCATATAACTTCATTTGATTCGCGCTGTTGACAAACTTCGGCGGGACTCTAATTTATGGACGACCTTTGAATGAATCTTAAGTGACCTTGAGAAATATTAGTCAATCAGCAAACAGTCAGCAGAGTAAAAATGTGTTATACAAAACCAAGGAAATAAAGTGGATACACTTCCTATTCGTGGTTCAAAAACTTTTCAAGATTAGAAAGAGGTTCACAGGTCCTAAAATCGTAATACATGCAGTATAGGAAATCATCCGTATGGCTACAGAACAGTCGGCCTCTGGAGACATGATAAACTCTCGTAAACTCTTTCAGCCTCGACCACATAGCTTCAATATTGTTTATGTGCACTCCCGTTGTTGAGTGCACAAAATTCTACTTGTGGATAACGACACGATGCACATAACCAAGCCTACGTAGGAGTCTGTGCGCTTTCCAAACATCCGTATATATTATAGTACCTGGCTGCAGCCAGTGTTACTGTTATTTTTATTATCCATTTCGCAATAATTGTCATAATCTGTCTTAGTTAGCAATTATATGTAGGGTTTTCATTACGAACTGACATCAGATATAATTCCAGAAATCTATTTAGTCAAATGGATGAGAGGCTTTCACGCCAGAATCCGAGATCCATTATCTTGCACCTGATTGATTCATCCACAAATTATAGTATCGCCGTTTTATTTGTTATAGCCGTTCAATTATCACGTTTTTTACAAAATTCCCTGTGAACCGATCGCACGTTGGCATTAAGCACTGAAGTTGGCGCTGTAACATTGAAATCTCTAAAACGCTTCTGATTGGCTCGTTCATAAATTAGAGTCTCGTCCAAACTTTAAATCAAGAAATTAATATTCGATAAATACTATTAAATAGCAGTTATTTGGTAAATATCAACCTGAAAATGGTGCACCACGAAAGTGCTTTCATCTACAGTTACAAAACTCAAAAATAATTATATTATAGGAAACTAAATATTCACATACTTTCATAACCCAGCTTGTCTATATGATCACAAAGGGATAGCTTCCATAGATCAATAACTTTCTCGTTTTCTCGAAGACCACTCTCACGAATCGCACGTAGTTCATCTAATGCACCTGAATAGTGAGGATTGTAAAATTTATATTATCACATCGAGATTTAGAAAAGAGATAGATGCGTTTGTCCCATTGTGATTAGCTATATGACTCCTCCCCCCAAATAGCCTAACGAAGCTGTACTTAGCCACCTGGGTTAGATCAGTCATTATTAGCTTTAAGATGTGACGCTGTTCGTATATGACCACTGTTAATGTCTTCCCAATCGAAGTCTAATTGACCTAACATATTATCGCGACAACCAGTGATTTGCTTTTTTCAACACGTGAAGTAACCATTATAAGCCCTAAAACTGTAAAATTTCTCATTTGACGGATCTACCGCATACAAGCAATATAGTAAAGAGACAGTTGCAAACCACTTATAAATGAACATCGTCCAGACATTTAGAGAAAAACCGACAACAGTAGGGTTGCAAGGAAAAGTCAAAAGTATTGGTTGGTTGAGAACTCAGTACAGTTGGAAGACATTTAACTGTCAGTTAACCCAGTTATTTGGACTTAGTAAAGGAACTGTGGTGAAAAGGCAATGACGTGTGAGATGAACATCAGGAGGGGTATTTTGTCTACAAACACTTGAGACAAATGACCGGAATATAACTCTTCGAGGCAGAGTTCAATGACCATAATATATCAATTAAAGCCTATGGGGATGCTGGAGCATAGGCGTCCATATTCAGATTTTCTTGCAAGCAGAAATGACTTTTGTTACGACTAATTTGTGATATAAACCATTATTGATATAGAACTGATTTTCAGAACCAACTGCTCGAAAGTCCTTGAAAGGTAGTCTATGATCAACTGTTCAACACAATATCCAAACACTCAAATGGAATAATTAAATATATGTAAGGGAGCCGAGATGTTGAAACAATGAACTCTAGAGTAAGAATCTGTGAATTGATTTGGTTAATTACATTGGGTGACCATTACTTAAGTTGATACCACAAGTTCTGACCATTGTAATTAATACTAAGGGTAAGTACGTTTATCGGAGAAACGATCAAAGGACAATCATGGTAAAATATCTAATAGAATCCTGTGGTTATTTTTCTCATGAAATTTTTAATGAAGATTCACTTTCTCAGTAATGAGTTGTTAAACGCAATCCATGCAATATTAAGCTTATACTCATCAAGAAATTAAAATATCTTTAATCACTTGAAGTTATTTTCACATACACGGAAGTAGTACCGAGTACACAAAATGGTACTCCTAAAAATATTCAACTGGAATTGTCCAAAACTTTCGCGTAACATCTAATACTTGCATTTGATAGTTAATGAATGTTCGTGCATAGTTGAACACATAGCCGTCTTAGCTACGATCGAGGTGAATTATCTGTAAATTACAGAATCGCAACTTACACAACAAAATAAATGGACTGTGTTTATTCAAGGCCAAAACCATATGCATAAAACTCTTACACAGATGTGGTACCGAAGTAGAAATAAATTGAGGATGACAAGAACACAGTTTACTGAGACTCCATTCTAAGTCACAATTATTCACTGAGTATTGCGTATATGTTTCATGGAAATGCAAACACAACTTGAAACTTATTAGTACGTCTGTGTTCTAGGCCTTTCGTTATCCGTTAAGTTATACCAAAGACGTAAAGTGTGTAAACGAAAAAAATCCTCATTACGATCAGTAAGGTTGGTCCAGTAGTTTAGTTTGTCAAATATTTTAAAAATTCATGACAAAAGAATCTGTAACTTAGCGGCTTTCCATAGGCAATGTATAATTAACGACCAGAATAGCTTTGATGTTTTAGTGTAAAACAATACAAGTTGGTGATCAAAACGTTACAATGCTTACGTTGTTTACTTATTGATCCGTGACTTTTTTGTTTGTTCGTTAATATATCACACACCAGTGCGAGAATAACAGTCATAAATCCATAAACGATCCTCCTGATTTGAGAGCAGATAGAAATATCACGAATTTGCATTTCCGTCTTTCCTTTAATCCAGGGCGGTTATGAGGCGAAATTTATTTGGATAAAATTTTTGAAAGCCTGTGGGTTTTAAAATATATTCGAGATTAAGTATTGTTGTTGTTTTATTTACCTATAGAGCATTAATAAATCATAAGTGTTCGTCTATTTTCACTCGGTTACGAGTTAACGTTTGAATAACTTTATATAATGACTTAAAGAATAAAACAAAATGGTGGTTACCGGAAGGAAAATGGGGAAAGAGACAACACACCTCAAGGTTATCAAGCTTTGAAGAAAGCGCTTGACCATGCAAGGCCACGCGAACACCAGACATGAAATTCCAGATTAGGGTTTCAATACATGACAAAGGAATAATTTCGACAAGCTTATATCAAGTAATAAGGGCGCATTTTCTTGGTAAACTCGAAAATATACTTTTGTAACTGACGTGAGTTTTGCAGCAACCACAACAGTGTATGTCTAAAAATGCCACGGGTATACGAGGTTTTACAACACTTTTACATGTGTAGTGACTCACGTTTATCACGAGAACACGACTGGTTTAATAAAAACAATTATTATAACCAACTGTACCAGTGTTTGTTTTAACGTGCTTTTGTTTGACTGTGCTAATGACAGCTATTTTGTGCTTCCATTCATATACTTACACTTTGATTGTAACTTCGCGCGAATTCGGTTACGTTCTGTAACCAAGCTTGTATCCTGGCACGATCTCGGTATCGTTTCGATGCCACGAGATCGCCAGCAAATAAAGATCGACTTGGTCCATTAATTGCCTTCTGGTATTCGGCTTCTCGGGGATTTTATGGAGTCATTTGGAACGAGCTTCTTACGCCTTCTGATCTATCTGGCACGTGTTTCTTGGTAGCGGTGTTCACAGTTGATCTCAACTCGACGCCACGCTACAATTGGTAATCCCAATTCAACTACAATTGGTGACCCGTATTTTGGAACACGCCTCAACTTCTGATCAAATCTTTCAAAGAAGCCAATTCGGTGAGTCTATGATTTATCTATCCACGTCTGTCGTATATTTTCATATTTTTTAATATATAATATACGCGACATGACGGATAACGATAAGAATAGTATTAATATAATAGACTCACACGTATGTGTACCGAATCCTTGTCACTTTTTATTCGCGTGATGATGAATTCCACGCTTTATTCGAGAAATGTTACCCTATTAACGATTCTCCTCGCTGACCCGGCTGCTTGGTACTGAATGCATACGCATAAGCATATCCGTCTACCACCCAGCACCAAATGGTTAAGTTGAACGGTTTCACTGCCAACTTTAAAGTGTTCTACGAGCACACGAAAACGGCAACTGGCACGAAACCTTACCGCTCGTTCTTTTAGGGATCAGAACGAGCTTAAAGGCAGATATACAATGTTCCGCCACTGAACTGGTATACGGCACGACATTGCGTCTGCCCGGAGAATTCTTCACACCACGGAGCAGACCTAATTTCGGTAAATCAGACTACGTCCATCGACTGTCTGCATTTATGCGAACGCTGTCTCCGGTGTCAACTCGAATACAACATCGACAGGTCGCTCTCCCTCGAGAGTTATCTACCTGTTCACATGTTTTTGTACGAGTAGATTCGGTATGCAAACCTTGGCAACAACCTTACGAAGGCCCTTTTCACGTGATCGCTCGTCACGAAAAGACCTTCAAGGTTGATCGATATGGACGCGTCGAGATCGTCAGCATTGATCGTCTCAAACCAGCACACGTCGATGAAAGTGCCCTATCTGACAACCTGAGATTCAATGCTAGACCTATCGAACCTACTAGCGGGATCCTCAAATCATCTTCAGGTCCCACGCTAGATACATCTGAGACCTCATTCTCACGTCCCAGTCAACAGCACGCGTCATCTGCACCGTCTACGGACGAGACGACAGTCTCACGTCCAGATCAGCAGACCACACCGCCCTTGACTTCGGATGAGATTGCAGGCTCACGCGACGCGAACGAGACTGCCGTCTCACGTTCCGGTCGCCGAGTACGGTTACCCGTACGCTTCCGCGAATAGTCGCACAGTCAACAACCGATACGGTGTAGGATTATTCCTATACTACACGTATGCTACACTCTTCTTTTTTTGATTTTCTTTTTGTTTCCTGAGCCCACGCCTTCGACCATCTACGTTTGGTTCCGTCGACTTCAGTCAACTTTGGCGAAAGCTGGATTGGCCACCCACGCTCTTGTCAACGTACTCAGTCGATATATTGGTTTCGAATGCTTGGCATACGCTTGGTCTCGAACTTGGTCGTAACGGTCGCTTCTGGTCTTTTGGCTCAACGTGGTTTCGTCCTTCGTCTGCAGCGTTTATGGTCCGGACCCGTACGAACGCCCTCTTCAGATTCTGGATACAAACCACTCTGGTAGCATGCCGACTCAAGCAACAAATACAACACATCGCTCCTGGTACCGTTCTCCGAAAACGACCTTCGTTGGCAACTCGACGATCAACGATCGCTTTCCTGTTCGCCAATTCTTCCGTCCTACAATCGCTCGTCAGCCGATCAGTCCCACGATTCAAACCGCTATTTATCGAAAGTGTAAACCCTTTCTAGCGGGGGGCTCCTGTAGTGACTCACGTTTATCACGAGAACACGACTGGTTTAATAAAAACAATTATTATAACCAACTGTACCAGTGTTTGTTTTAACGTGCTTTTGTTTGACTGTGCTAATGACAGCTATTTTGTGCTTCCATTAATATACTTACACTTTGATTGTAACTTCGCGCGAATTCGGTTACGTTCTGTAACCAAGCTTGTATCCTGGCACGATCTCGGTATCGTTTCGATGCCACGAGATCGCCAGCAAATAAAGATCGACTTGGTCCATTAATTGCCTTCTGGTATTCGGCTTCTCGGGGATTTTATGGAGTCATTTGGAACGAGCTTCTTACGCCTTCTGATCTATCTGGCACGTGTTTCTTGGTAGCGGTGTTCACAGTTGATCTCAACTCGACGCCACGCTACAATTGGTAATCCCAATTCGAATACAATTGGTAATCGCAACTCAACTACACATGTGACAGTTTTAGAATCAAGTTATGTCAACTTAGCTAGAGCACAGCTCAAAAGTGAAGACGTCCGAAGATATATATGAAAAGTTGTCGGTATATCGATAAGCGTTCAATCTAAGCTGGCTAATAGTTGTAGGCGATGCGTAGCATGGCGTACCCTCTTGTGATCTAGTGCGGATGCATGACCGAAAGCCACCAGTTAGATATGTCCAGTAAAATTAGAGGGGAAAGCATCAATTTTGAAGACTTACAGAATTATTTGTTTTGGGAATTCATTTGCCGCTACATGTCTGTATTAGTACTGATATGGTCACAATCCAAAATAGTCAAAGTTTAATGTTGCTAACATAATATCACTCACGTGGCCAACTAGGTAACCCATTGGCGTACGAAAGTGGTCTATGTAAGGTAACCAGCTTCATATTTTATTCTATGTATATAGTCCAATAAAAGTTGAAACTCTAGTTGTTTCGTGAACGACTTCATCCCAACTACGTGGATCAGAACGAGTAAAAATATCGTCATAAGATGAGCCAAAATATCACATATTAATCATACGTGGCTTTAAAATCCAGTTAATGTCTCCATAATAAATAATTATCGATTAGCACTGAGATTAGTTTTGTTCAGTCCACCACATATGCCAAACATTCTTACATAGAAACTGGGCTGTCATAAATGAATTATCCTTACCATCAGTTGGCTATGTTGAGGATACTAAATGTTTGATCCTACTATTATTTCGTTTATCCAGGCCTACGCTTTCTCAACCGATAGTTCAGTTAATGTAGATCAGCTTTCTGAAAAGGTGTGGAATAGGTTAGACGTCACACTAGATGAAGTCACAAATCATTCCGTCTTATCATCAACGTTACATAGATTCTAGTCCTACCCTTGATTGATGGATAAACAAATGTAGAAGCCTAAAAGGAAAAAACGCCTCTCTTACTTATTCCTTACAACTAATCATGAAGTTTTGGTGCCCTTCTTTGACTTTTTAGTGACGGCGAAGATGAGATATAACTTTATCATTGCTGTCTTAGGTTGAACTCAAACCGATTCAATGACGCTAAAACCTTATACCAAATATATTCATACACAGACAGATCGAAGATGAGAATGAATAAATGAACGACGGAGGTCGGGTAGATGCAAACCTCTGGAAATAAAATTGTCTGAAGCCACACATGAAAATAAATAAGAGGCAAAATGGGCAAACACAAATAGATAAGCATATGTATATAAATGCACGCAAGAAAAACGTCAGTTACATATAATATATAATTAGTAGGTAAATAGAAAGCCTACTATATAGGGAACATAGAAATACAACAATAAAGCTTTCTATTAATATTATGATAAATATAAATAATGATAATCTCAAGTACAAAGCCGAAGGTTTTAACTTAGTATTCGTATTGTTATAGCATAGACAGTGCATATACGATTCCATCAATACAATACCTCACTTTGTAATTATGCAGACTTGTGAATAACAAACATAGTAGTAGGCTGGGTCGAAAAAATGTAACTTCCTAGATGAAAATTTCTTTGGCAAGAGCGTATTCAAGGTGTTGTCTTAGTTCGTCCATTATCTAGTCGATCTGAAAGCGAACGTTTGTTGATTGATTCCCCAAGAAATACTTCATGCATATCGGTTACGGTCATATTTATCATTAAACCATCAACGAAATTCACCTCCAGAAGTCCAGGGAAAATATTAATTATCAATGACCCTAAGAAAGCTTGGATTGGGTCTCATCGCCTCTTGAAATATTTAGCCGGTTATGGTCACTTCTCGGAAAATTGTCTAGTTTGACAAGGATAAGTTGTAGGTTTTATTTTCTAACTAAATTAAACGATAACTAGGATACTGTTTCAAACATAACAAAACTTGTCTTACTGAAGACGCTTACACATGCTGTTGTGCTTAAGAAATA